GAGAGAATCCTTTGTCTTTGGTTATGTTATCTTATTTTTGCATAAGTAACAACAGGATATCAGAAAGATTAGATAACTTTCCCAAGATCACACAACTAAGCATAGATGCAACTATGATTCAAATGTAGAACTATTCTTATGCAAAAACTACTATAATTTTACCCCCATGCCTATTTGTCTTACCTACTTAGAAATTTAAGGTTTGTTTTCTATTTTCTTGAAAAAAGAGTGGTTTGTCTTATCTGTAAGAAGTAGTCTTCATACTTACCTGACAAGGAAGATACAGTGATCAAAAAGGTTATCTTTCCAGGGCTAGACTCATCCGTTGCAGTCCAGATGTTCTGACCCCTGTGATTTCCCCAATATGGGAAACTCAACTGCATAATTTGTGGTAGTGGGAGACTGTGTTGGCATTCTTCCCAGTAAGGATAAAAAGAACAGCCTTCCTTCATAAAGCAAGGAACTTTTCAGTTATATAGAATATAACTGAAAGCCTCCATTAACAAAAGAATGGATAACTAAAAGACAGTGTAAACATTAAACAGAGTAAACTTCAGCCTTAGAAAAAAAGGAACTTTTAACAGCATGGACCTATACTGAGGACATTAGGCTAAGTAAAGTAAGCTAGTCACAGAAAACAAACACTGTATCATTCCACTTACACAAATTGCCAAAAACAGTCACATTCACAGGGTAGAAAGAAATTGTCATGGAATGGGGGAATGGGGTACAAGAAGATACTAGTCAACAAATGTATTGTTTCAATTAAGCAAGCTAAATACATTGCATGACCATTTTTAACACAAAAATGTTTATTTTGATCGTATTTATTTCATCAAAGTAGTTTTGCTTTCTTATAAGAAACATATCCAAAGGTAGTCAGATACAGCTGACAACCAGCAAAGATGTCAGAGGCAACTTTGATCACTCAGAAGAAAAGAGCAAGTTTGCTTGCTTCTAAGCATGTGAACTCAAAAATTATCTAAAAAGGATGACCTGATTCTGCACTTTGGATCCCAGAAGATTAAGAATTTTTCCAGAAACACACAGGAAATAACAGTTGTCTTAAGTGAAATTTTGGATCTTTACATCACTGATTCCACTTAGTTCAAATAAAACAAATTAAAAAACCTTTTTTTTACATGGAAAGAAAATGACTTGTTTATCTAGGTTTTAAAGGCCCAGGAACAAATATTGCCCACATTAATGAAAAGACATACTTTTCCAGAAACCCAAACCTCTTTCTTATAAACTGTGCAAAGTAGATTTCAAGCAACTGCTAAGATCTTGGTAGATAAAATAACTGGTCCTAGAACCCTGGAGCCATGTTATTAAGCAAGATGGCCACCTGATACAGGAGATGATAAAAAGGAACAAACAACAATAACTTCAGAGCTTAATGAACTCCAAAGCTAATTTTTTCTCCTTGCCTCGGTATTCCCAACTGTGAAACTGGGCTGTCAATGACATTTGCTTTACAGAATTATCTTCAAGTTTATAGAGTGAATGTATGTAATCTTGCAGTATATTTTAGAAAGCTCAGTGTATAGACATAGACAACGTATATACAAGTACGAGTTATTAAAGCTATTTTCATACTAGCAGAACCAGAAGTGTAACTTTAAAAGGGGTAAGCACAGAGAGGGGATCTGTGAGGCCTGGCAAGTAGAGCAACTTCTCATCATAATAGTTATCGCTTAGTCTAAAAAACACAACATATCTAGAACTAGTGTGATGACTTTAGAAAGCTGGTACATTCTAAATACAACCAAGATTGCAAACAATTCATGTCCGTGTTCTTCATTGCAGTTATAAATCACTTATATTACATGCTCTCCAGAAAAAAATAGCCCTGATCTTTACAGATATATTGAATAATAAATTAGAAGGAACTTTAGAGGTCATAAAATCTAACCCTATTGTATTGCAAACAAGTAACATTTTGACAGAGAGGAAGTGATTTTCCAAAGCTCACCTAATTAATCACCCACCAGAGCCTGAGGTATGATCCAGGTCCGTGAGCACACAGACCTTCAAATTTCCAATCGTGGTCTTTCTCCATACAAGAATTCCTTCTCATTTTCAACACTCATAATAAAATTTTATGTAAAATGTATTATCTCAAATCAACCAATATTTAAAATGCACTATCTACTATGTCCAGCAGGAAATATAAAATTAATAAGATTTGCGTGCTGCTCTGTGCTAGTGGAACTCAAGCAAGAATAATAATGAGAATTATATTGAGTGATCACAGATGACTAAGACAAAGCAATAAATAAATCTCATCAAAAAAGCACAAACCGCATATCGCATCATACCCACATCAGAGGAGAGAAATATTAGATTGTGTTAAGATGGTCAATGACTTTTTGTTTTACTAAAAACAAAAAAGGCACCCATTTCATTTAGTAGAAAATACCACCCTCGGGACTACTTAGGTCAAAATAATACATAATTGACTCATACATACACACATGCACACACGCGCGTGTGCGCGCACACACACACACACACACACACACACACACACCCTGTGTGTGTGTCACATCTACAAAATGCTAAGCCCGTAAGTTGGGCCCTTGTATTCTTCAATATTTCTGAGCTCTCTTATTTACTCTGTTAATTTATTCTGTTATTTGCTTTTAATGTATTCAAAGTCTAACAAGCAATTACTCTCTCCCTTGTAGGAAAATACCTTTTCCTTTATAAGAATAGGGGCTCCATAAATTTTGTTGACTAAACATGAGACAAGTAAAAAAATTAAATTATTTGATTGGAATCATATATTCCGGGCTAGGAAGTGCAGCTCATTGGGTAAGAGCATTTACACAACCATCAGAACCTGAGTTCAAATCCTCTGCACCCATGTAAAACCTCAGGCATAGCCACACATGTCTATAACACCAGCACTGGGGACAGACGGATAAAGATTGTCTGAGTTTGCTGGTCAGTCAGTACAGTCAAAAAAGGACATCCCCAGGTTCAGTGAGAGACCCTGCCTTAACAGAATGAAGCAGAGATTGATAGAAGACACCTGGTATCCTCCTCTGATCTCCAAACATACATCACACATACAGCATTTGTATATACTACACAGAGGAGAGAGAGAGAGAGAGAGAGAGAGAGAGAGAGAGAGAGAGAGAGAGAGAGAGAGAGAGAGAGAGAGAGAGAGATACTGTTGAGGTTGCTGGTAGAATACATGCCTAGCATTGATAAGGGCCTGAGTTTAATACCCAGCACACACACACACACACACACACACACACACACACACACACACAATTATTCTTTTACTTAAACACGTCTCCTGCATATGGTTAAAAACGGCAGCATCTAATATTGGCTATCAGAAACAGGAGTCTGCAGGCAAACTAAAAGGGAAAGTGTGGCAGGTTGTGGGGTCACTGAGTACCGAATGGCTGCTATATGCAAAGCAAAGAATTTTGAGGCAATTCCAGTTTCTTTAAATTATGGGATTCAAAGAACATGGATTGCCTCGCAATTGTGAACTTGAGGGGAAAAAAACTACACTATGTCCCAGACAATGTGACACTTACTCATTTGTGCATATAAATGCTAGGCTAGATTATAATTGCACAACCATTACAGAAATGAATAACTCCTTAATATGCTCGATTTGTAAGATTATACTTCTCATATATGCATTTTAGAAATTCATAAGCTTCCTTTTTGAAGCAATCTAAGGAGAAACTCTAGATTTGTTTAAACAAAAATCTGATAGCATCGAAATTAATTTTCTTTCTAGATCAGGTGAGTGGAATTACATAATTTTAGGACAGAAACTATTTTATATGTTTAACATTCATTTAGTGTATCTTTATCAGTGTGTTAAGACATGGAAAATACAAAAAAGAAAAAAAAACAGTTACCACCTGATTAACAAAATCTTAGAGCCAACTCCAAGTAATTCTCAATCAGCAACAGACACTTGACCTAGACTATAGCAGGTTCGAGGGTTGATTCCTTACCTGGAGAACGGAGACAATGGAAGAGGGAGAGAAAGCTGGAGACGCTCTGAAAAGTGGCTATCTAAGTACAGGGTGAACATATTTTATATCTTTGAATTTCCTTTATTTTCTGTTTTACTTCCATTTTTTTACTTTCATTTTTTTGTCAGTAGATTTCCTTTGGAAAGTTCCAGCCTGTGTCTACTTTATAAAAATAAACTGGAAGAAGGTGTTTATTGAAGGTGTTTATTTTATTAACACTGGGACCACACATAAAGAAAAAGTGACAGCCTCTGGGGAATCTTAGTAGCAGACAAGAATAAGGGTCACTATAACACAACAAAGATTGAGAAGTGTCAGGATGCTACTTCCTCAGGAAAGTCTTTCTTTACTACTTTATGACATATTTGTTGTGTCTCTTTGATTCGCAGCAGTAATTATGTGGAAAGGACACATACCTCTAAAGTTCAAGTGTTCAAGACTCTAAAATTATTGCTCTCCAGAAGTATATATGTGAAGTTAATGACCAAATACAAGTACTGTTATGACTCTGAGGAGCTAGTTCAAGCTCCGTTAAGCCATTTCTTTCAAACAACATTATGCTCCAAGCAAATTAAGAAATTTTTGTTTAATATTCTAACTCCTATTCCTAGTAAACTAAGTCCTTGGATGAGAATTTTCAAATTATTCCCTCTTTGAACTTTATAATTAAATCTTTATAGAGAAAATATGATTTCATAAGAAGAAATGTTTTATAACATTATGTTCATCTTTAGGTGCAAAAGGTGAATGCAGACATCAGCAAACATCTGTAACCACTCATGGTCCCTATTCCAAGTACCCCTCCCCTTGGGAATGTAAAAAGGATGAAGGGAAAACAAGGAGCCATGGAAGCCAATGGGCAGCCCTAAATCTGTCGGTGTAGCTTTGATGTGCACTCTGGACCTGTATTTAAGGCTGCTAAGTTCCCATGACCCTTCCGGAGTGCTTTTGAGGTCACTAACTCCTATTTGCAATCTATGATTTCAGCGTGAGCATACTCTGACGTTGCAACATAAGAACAGTGGCCACAATAAGAAGGAAACTTTGTGAAGGTACTGCGGTGCCAGAAAGAGGTATGGCTCCAGTTTCAGAATGAACCCTGTTCAATTTTCAGTTTTCTCAGGGAAGTAATGTTCCTCATCATCTGTACTGAAATAAAAGTCGACACCTTTTGTGCTTACTGCTTTCTTCCATTAATCAATTTGTGATTCATTTGCTTTGGGCTAAGGTGGCTTTTACTAAACTTATCACAACCTCTCCAAACACTGAGTTATTACTCCTCAGCACCCATTTCCTTCCCCAACTGTGAGCTGTTTGAAGGCAGACTTGGGTCTTAAGAAATCATAGGCTTCCAAAGGAACTTTCTGTGCCCATCTCCTAGGGGGTCAGATCATTAGGAAAATCACAGTAAATTATATAAAACCTAATTAAATGCTGCTCTGACATTTCATGTCATTATATATGAAATGGCTGCTTTACACTAAATGATCTCTGCCCCTTGTTTGAAGATTCCACAATTTTCTTTTTATGGCTTAATGTCTATAATTATCTTTATTTGTATGTAAATAAGAATCAAACCAGCAACCTTGTTTCTAATTTAAATTTAAATTTAAAAATAATATATATATAAAAGAATCAAACCAGAATACTGAAATTTATAAATAAGTTTATTCTGTTTCAAAGAGCTCTGCTGGTTATTAATGGAATTGAATGCCATTCATTTCTTTGTGTACTCTTAAATGTTATCAGCTCTATTTGGCATCTTTTGTTCAAGCAGCTGAGAATTTCAAACATATTTGTAATGTGCAATGGACAAACAAATAATTTATGTATCCACAGTATGGGTATTTTAACCCTTATAATTAAGCTTTATAATTTGGTATCTTAGTACTTTAGGTAGCAATTTGTCTACATCAGCATCTTTAGTCTGTAAGGTTGAAAATACTTTAAATTGTAGTGCAATGTGTGGTCACGCTAAGCGATTTCAAATGGATAGTTGTACTTTCAAATGGTAAGGTTTCTATCATTCCAGTTAACATTAAGCTTTTATGGACAAAGATGAGTAACTGGTCCCATATAAGGTGCTGCTTTATTTATCAACCAGAGAGTCTGGAAGAGAAGATAACACATCGGTGATACGCAAACAGAAAGAAAATTCTCTAGGAGTTCTCCAAAGATAGAAATGTCTTTAGATGGACAATGAGAGAAGGTGCAATTCAGTCTGAACAATAAAACAGGATGGAAATGGGGTGGTGGGTGTGTTTTTGATTTGGTCTGCATATTGATTGAGTCAAGGTCTCCCTATGTGGCCCAAGCTGATTTCAAATCCACCATCTCCCTGAGTCAGCTTTTCAAATGCCGGAATTACAGAAATGTGCCACCAAGATGAGCTTAAGAGGGAAATGTTAACTAACTTCCTAGTGTAGTGGCAGTCATTTTACAGTATATACAGATATCAAATCATCATTCATGGTGTTGTATATCGTACTATAGACACATATTTAAAAGCATGCTGTTTTTTTTTCAAATATTGTGAATAAAACTAAAAAGGAGAAAACTATCTCAAAAATCTCAATAGCACCATCTAGTGCCTCATAGCATAAAATGGTTCAGTTTGAAGAAAATACCTAAAACAGTACAGCAAAAAAGACTGGATTAATTTGGGGAACTCTCCTTTCCTTTACCAGAATTCAGAGAACCAACAGGGAAAAAACCTGGAGCACAAATTGAAAACTGATGCAGACATTAGGAATGGTGGGCTGTTTTTCTCTATAGCCTTAGAATTATTCCTCTTCATTGTTAAAAATCTTATATCAATAGTTTTTGGTGAAAATGGCATTTTAAATGCTAGAAAATATAAATAGATGAATGGCAAGATTGACAGACGAACGGCAGATGAAACTGTTCCTGGCTAGGAACCTGTCAAGTTCTATCCACCTACAGCAAGTACCAGAGCTGCCTGCTCTCTTATCTCCACTATATAGACAAGATTCATCCTATTCCACACTAGTAGTTCATGAATTCTTGAGCATTCTTCCAGACACCTTGTTTACCAGAGAGCACGAGCTATATAAAAGTCAACAAATCAATAAAAGACTAAGTATTGAATTGCTTCCTCTTTGATAAGTATGCAAAAGAACATTGACGAAATGACTATGTCTATGATATCTCATCTCTAGCTGTTGCTAATCAGGTTACTAGCTGCTGGAATGCCATTGGATAGACCAAATAATAATCTTTTGCTATGAAAGAACTCTGTATCTCTAAACTCAAAGCTTTGAATACAAGTTTGAGAAGAGAACAGGAATGAAAAAGCTACAACAATTTCCTCATCTGACAAGTGTATTCAGACTTATTATACCACATCTTTCCTCAAAGCCTTAAATTATGGTACAGATTTTTCAACTGTAAATTTCACCACTCTGGAACTTTTTTATCATTATTATAACTTTATAGCCACTATGTTTCTCCTGCTGTGGTGTTGTATGGTTCTAAATAGTTAGTACCAGATTAAGAATCTCTCCTACAGGAGTGAGTTTTACCAAAATGAACTAAATTATTTTCCCTGGATATGACTTGCATTCAGAAGATGTTACATAGTTCTCTTTTAGAGAAAATCAAGAAGTTTGTGCAGATTTTAACCACTAACTGAACTTGAAGCTCTTGTAAAGCAATACATTGGGAATTAGATGATGATGACTGATAATAGATACACACATAAACACTCACATATGTAAAACTAGTATATTTAAAGTTGTTTTCTGTAAGTAAAAAAGCAAATTGATTTGAAGGGAAATTTTATGGAATAGTACTACAGCAGTACAATTTACCATATGAGGGGGATATTTTGCCTAGGTCTTGGGAATTAAGAATTCTTTCAGGGTACATAGATGAGAAAGGAGGAAAAAGTTTTCTTCAGGTCTGGAGGACCTAGCCTTCCTTCTGGGGCAAAGTTCAACTGACTCTCTCCTCATAACCTGACAATTGCTTCCAGCTGTGGTGGATGTGCATGTGAGCAGCACTAATTGGACTCTGTGGGTTACGAGAGAGAGGGGAGGAGAGAGAGACAGAGAGAGAAAGACAGAGAGAGAGAGAGAGAGAGAGAGAGAGAGAGAGAGAGAGAGAGAGGGAGGGAGGGAGGGAGGGAGGGAGGGAGGGAGGGAGAGAGAGAGAGAGAGAGAGAGAGAGAGAGAGAGAGAGAGAGAGAGAGAGAGAATGAACATCAAGTTTGAAAGGAGACATGCTGAGAGGATCCTGGAGGATGAGGTGAAGGCTGGGCATGATCAAAATACACTGCATATATGTATGAAATTTTCAAAGAATATAAAAATCTATTCAATATTTTAATTACACATGAAAGTATGGGAAATGAATTGACGTGCCCAACAGTTTAAAGGTCTAGCTTAATTGACAAGATCTTTTTCATATGTTGTAGGCATAAAGCAGGGATTCCTGGAGAACATGGATGGCGTTGAAAATCTGACAGTATCTTCTGCCAGTAATAACATATGCCATGATACGATCGACGAGTTCCGCAATCAAGTGTACTCCACAATGTATTCTATGATCTCTGTTGTGGGTTTCTTTGGCAATAGCTTTGTGCTCTATGTCCTCATAAAAACATATCATGAGAAATCAGCCTTCCAAGTATACATGATTAATCTAGCCATAGCAGATCTACTGTGTGTGTGCACATTACCTCTCCGTGTGGTCTATTATGTTCACAAAGGCAAGTGGCTCTTTGGTGACATTTTGTGCCGCCTCACCACCTATGCCTTGTATGTTAATCTCTATTGTAGCATCTTTTTTATGACAGCCATGAGCTTTTTTCGGTGTGTTGCAATTGTTTTTCCAGTCCAGAACATTAATTTGGTTACACAGAAAAAAGCCAGGTTTGTGTGTATTGGAATTTGGATTTTTGTGATTTTGACTAGTTCTCCATTTTTAATGTCCAAATCTTACCAAGATGACAAAAACAATACTAAATGCTTTGAGCCTCCACAGGACAATCAAGGTAAAAAGTATGTCTTGGTCTTGCATTATGTATCATTACTCTTTGGCTTCATTATCCCTTTTGTCATCATAATTGTCTGTTACACAATGATCATTTTGACCTTACTAAAAAATTCAATGAAGAAAAATCTGCCAAGTCGTAGGAAGGCTATAGGAATGATCATAGTTGTGACAGCTGCCTTTTTAATTAGCTTCATGCCATATCATATTCAACGAACTATCCACCTTCACTTTCTACACAGTGAAAATAGACCCTGTGATTCTGTGCTAAGGATGCAGAAGTCAGTGGTCATAACCTTATCTCTAGCTGCACTGAATTGTTGCTTTGACCCTCTGCTATATTTCTTTTCAGGCGGAAATTTTAGGAGAAGACTGTCCACATTTAGAAAGCATTCTTTGTCCAGTATGACTTACATACCCAAGAAGAAAGCTTCCTTGCCAGAGAAAGGAGAAGAAATATGTAAAGAATAATTCAAATCCATCTCCATTGCAGAACAATGAAAAGAATTTCCCTAACAAGTATTTTCCTAAATCACAATTAAAAGATAAAGTTTCCCATTAATATCTTGGAAACTATTAAATATATCTCATTTACAAATTCTAGCATTCAAAATGTAAAGTGTTCAACATTTAGTTTATCACTGTGAGGGTTTTTTTTACTATTCACCAGAAGGTGGAAAGTATTTGTGGTTCTAAACTACAAAACTGAATGTGAAATCAAGATTTTTCCTCTTCAAATAAAAGGGTTACAAAGGATATGAACTAGGATTTTGAGTCCAGCTTTTAAATATAGCTTTAGAATTAGCAAATAGCCATCAGTCATCCCAACATGTGCCTTTGCATGCATGCCATCAGATGAAACCTGGAGATGACCCAGAAGCTACAGAAATGTACTGTCAGCCTTTTCCTTTGTAGTACTGACAAGCGAGGCAAAGTAGAGCCCTATCTTCCGGAAGACAATGTTCAAGCGCTAGAAAAGACCAGTATTCAGCCAAATAGCCATATAGGCTGCATGCAATTTACTATCTGGAAATTAAGGAAAGTAAATATGTTCAAAAGCCCGCTTGTCTCCAGTTCTCTTCTGCCCTTGCTTGACTTAAGTCCCCAAAAGAGAATAGTGTTTTTCTTGCTCACTGAAGTTCCTATTAGGAGTTCCATCCTGACCCAAAATATAATTCTTCCTTAATGAGTAAGACAATTGGTATTCCCATGTATGAACAGAAACAATCAAAATTCATCTGAAGAAAAGGAAAGAGGCCTTCTTCTCTATATGAGCTTTATTGTGATCAAAATTTGCTGTATAAGATACCAGAGGAAAAAATTTAATATCTATATCATTCTCTTAAGAAGTACATTTATGTATATGTATATAAATATATGTAATCTATCTTGTTCTATGATATGCATTTATAGTTAGTCAATTATGAGATTTATTGTTTTATATTTTCTGTTTTTTATTAGCATGTTGAACATAATAGCATTTATTTGCAGTGATTTTTATATTATAGCAGAAGCTTTGTTCTTAAAACAAACCATTGAAAACAGCTTGGTTGTGACTAAAATATGATACTCATCAGCAAAGTTTTGCAGGAGTTTGTTCTTTTCTTAACTCTGAGTTTCAAAATTCACATTACCTCAGGAGAAATAAATAATAATAGAGATCGAAAAAAGGAAAATCATGAGTGGAGTTCTGTCTGCATCTGCCATGTGTGAGCTTTTCTAGTTCACATCTACTACTACAACCCCTGGGGAAATAAAAAAGTACACAATGAAGAGAGACCTCTAAGGATCAGAAATAACTGGAACTCATTGATTTCTATTTAACATATCTGAAAACTAGCAATACCTATACTTTTGCTCTATATTGTTTTCTCTTGCTTGAGACAAATATCAAATATATTTGTCAAATGGCATCAGGTCTCATTTTATACATCTCTGCTTTGGCACAATCAGCATAGTGTAGTAGAAGGACACAACGCTGGAAGCCAGGACACCTGCATGCTAAGCATGACTCTATTAATAGCTATGTAACTTTAGCCTGGCGGTGGTGGCGCACGCCTTTAATCCCAGCACTCGGGAGGCAGAGGCAGGCGGAACTCTGTGAGTTCGAGGCTGGGCTGGACTGATAGCCTCCAAAACAACACAGAGAAACCCTGTCTCGTAAAAACAAAAAAAAGTAGTTATGCAACTTTAACCAAGTCCCATAAACACAGAACCTCAACTTCCTCGGCTGTATGATAAGAATGGCACTTGTTTTGCCTTTCTTGTGGGCATTTTCGGGATTCAAACACACCTGGATATGCTAAAATCTTATCCTAAAATACATAGTAAGATGTCATTTTAAAGTATGCTGATTCGTATTTATTGTATCAATTCTCAATTTTGGAATAATTAGAACAAAATATGGCCACAGTTAAATTATTTTACATATAAATAACCATGTTGCTTATTTATTCCTACATCCAAGCTTTTGTCTATGTTGGCAATTACACTCACATCTGTACCCATGAATAACATATAGATATGTCACAAAGCCTTCAGTCACCTGCAAACTCACAGTATTATTCTTTCGTGAATTATGTCTTAATTGGCTATACCATACAACTCACTTCTTACTACTTTTCCCAGTTTTCTCCATGTATTTCCCAGTATTTTCTCCCAAAGGAAAGTGCTCTGTGTATATTTATCAACTCTTTGAGGTTACAAATTACATCATTACATGGAAGTATCTAACATTTAATGAACTCTATGTATTATACTCTGATGTGAGGGGTTTTTTGCTTTTTTTTTACTTTGTTTTGTTGGTTTTTTTCAATGGGTTTGTTTGTTTCTTTGTTTGTTTTATCGGAGGCTGCACACATGCACTCACATCAACACACAATGGCACAGTTACTTGGGACATCAAAGTGGCTTCTGCTATCAAAGTAGGGCCCAGAGGTAGTGGGTTGCAGCCTCCTCTCATGCAGCGTAAACCCTGCTGGGTCCTTCTTCTGGGGCAGCTGAGGAAGGGAGAGGGCTGCTGGGGTGGTCCTCCAGCCCCAACAGGGAGGGAGCAAGTAAGTTGGTACAGCACACTGGGCTGGGCAAAGGCCACCTCACTCCAGGGACTGCAACATCAGAAGCTGCTTCAACACCTTCATCTGGCTGATCTCTCAGATTTCACCTGCCAGGAACATCTTATCTACATTGTGTAAACGTTATAGAAGTTGAACACCAGGTCAAGTTCACAGACGTTGTGGAAATATTAATTTAACACTTCCACAAAATTGTGAATGACCTCGAGTTAGGCCAGATTTTTTACCTTGATTTCCACACAGATGCAGAAGCAGAAGTCAGAGTAGCATAGGTAGATGATCTTGAACTTCCGGAGCTCAACAAAGTGGTTGTGCTTGGTATCCCGAATAGTGGAATGGTGTCCACGGCATGCACCATCTCGATCACCTTCTGATTCTCATCATCACTAGGCCAGGAGCATCTTGCCTGCTTGGTTCTAGATGATAACGAAGCAGATCACGGAGACCCCTATCACTATACTCTGTTTTTAAATGCTTTACTTGTATAAATACATTAATATATGCCCTTTAGAGTAAGTACCATTACCATCCTTATTTTGCCAGCAAGTTTCAGAACCAAGGTTCAACTCAAGGCATTCTGTTGCCAGAATCCATGTTCTTAATTTGCTAGATATCTGTGCCACCACTTTCAGGTACAAAGTTTCAGGTATACATGACAAATAGATACACATGACAAATCTCTAGGAGGGATTTATTATATAGAGCTATGTCTTTAATTAACAATATTGCTGTGCCTTTAATTTTTTAATAGAAGAGGTATGTTATGCCCTTACCAAAAATTGGTGAGAGGTAAATGGTAGACAAATGAGAGAGATGATGATGATTGACAGATGACACATTGAAGTATATACTTAAGTGTATAAATGATATGAACACATGCCTGCAATTTAGTCTGAAAATGTCATGAGAATATTATAGAATCACTTGGAATATTGAAATTAGAAAGAGATTCATATTTGCATATCCTAATGGCAAAATAATAATAACCTGTGCCATTAACATTCCAGTCTTCACACACATCCCTTTGGCCACCAGTAACCCTTTCAAATCTCATAAGCTAGCCATATTAGCTCTCTTTATACACATACTTATTATTTCATTCATCAAGTATCGCTACTGTATTCTTAAAAATCATTTCTGATCCTAAATAAATATTCTGTGTTTTAGTTTTCAGAATAAACATAATTCGTTTTGTGTGTTCCTCTTAGACTGTGGGCTGGTTTTCTTGATTATGGAGTCTCCTGAGTTTACAGGAAAGCAAAATGATTATGCAATTATCATTTTAATTGGCTTTTAAAGATGATAAAATTTATCTTTCAATAACTTTCTCTTACTAAAACATTAGTGACTCAACTGTGGAAAATATAGATGCTAGAAAGGTGAGGGTGGTATCACAGCAATATAAACTCAAGGGATACATTTCAGTAAGCATCATCACACTAGACAGTAGGAAATTATTCTATTCTACTTCATGTGTAAAACCTGGGTTCTATTGTCTTTGCCTAATACAAAAACAGAAAGGTGTCTTTTGACACATCCCAAAACTCTGTTACTGTAGATAAAAAAACAAAAGACAAATTGTTCTCCATCTTTTGGCTAAGATCAAGTGTGAAAACCAAAGACAATTCCTAACTTCTCATTTGTTTGCTCATTGTTTCACTTTCTCTGCATTGTATATAGTCCCTTTATATAACTTCTTCCATCTGATGATGCTAACTCATAAGAATATATTGCTATCACAAATAACAAAGGTATGACCTAATTTTTTAATTGAGATTTATGTAAAATACCTTCTCAAGATAACATTTGATGGGGAAGTGGATGCAAACTCTCATACCTAACCAAGGAGGTATCTACAAGTGAAAACCCACTGGCAAAGGAAAAATCAATGTTTCCGATGCGGTCTCACTTTGTATATTATCAACTACTTCCCACATCTAGGAGTAGTTGGTCAACACAAAACAAATTTAATGGCATTTTTGTAGACTTTTTGTCTCATTTTGCTTTGCTAGAGTGTCTTTTGTTGAATTTGTCTTTTGCGTGTTTATTTTTATTTTAGTTTTTTGTTTATTCTGTTTTGTGTGTGTGTTTCTTGGGTTTTGGGAATTTTTTTTTCGTTCGTGTTTTTAAGAGAAAGAAAAAGAATACAAGTTTGGATGGGGAGAGAGGTGAGAAGGAGCTAAGAGGACTTGAGAGAGAGGGAAAATATCAAAAAGTTGTTTTTTTTCTCAATAAAAATACATTTAAATTCCAAGTACCTGATCTTTATAATTTCTCCTAATAGTTAGTCAATTTATCTAGGAAATTCATTGCGTGTCACTATTGTTATCTTGGAAATTCAGTATTTAATACAATCTAACTGTCCTGATACAAAGTTGCCTTTTGATACAGAAAATTATATTGTTGAAGGCTGAATGGGAAATATTAGCATCTGTTATTGCTCACTTTCTCTGCACTGTAGGAAAACAAAATTCATAATACTCTTTCCTGAATACCAATGACTATGTGGGTTTCATGTTTTTTTAAATAATGATTGTAAATAACATGGGCAGACATGAATGTTAACTATTAAAAATACCATTGAACATAGAAATAAAATCTTCCATTCCATAAAAGCAGATTATGCCTTCTACAACTTTAAGAAAGAACAATGCAAATTAATATCTACTTTTAATTTTCTTTTTAAAAAATGGCTTCAAACAATTACAAAGAAAACTGCTCTCACTCTTCAAACAAGTTTTCCTTTTTCTAGGGTGAAGGTTATAATAACTTGTCAGGAGATTTGGTTCTTTTTATGTTTATTGGTGTGGGATTTAGATGCTAAAGATTTGGGGGTTTTATTTTACATCATTTTTTATTTTAAAGCAATCTTTTCTCATTTTACATACCAATCCCAGTTCCCACTCCCTCCCGCCTCCCACTCTCCCCACCTTCTCCCAACCCCACCCCATCCAATCCTGAGAGAGAGTAAGGCTTCCTATGGGGAGTCAACAAAGTCTGACACATCTCACTAAAGTTTTATTTCCTGTGTTTTTAAATGATTTCTTTTTGGTTTGATATTAGAATTACATCACTTCCCCTACCCCTTTCCTCTCTCCAAACCTTCCTGAATATTTCTCCATGTTTGCTTTCTAATTCATGGCCTCTTTTTTCATTATGTGTTGATATAAATACATACATACATACATACATACACACACATATGTGCATGCACATATAAATGCAACCTGATTAGTCTGTATAATGTCACTTCTATATATGTTTTCAGAGCTTACTATTTGGTATTGAATAACCAACTGGTGTGCTCTTCCCTAGGGAAGACTTTTCTACTGCTCTCACCATTCCTTAGTTGCTGGTATGTTTGAGACCTTGCATGGGCCTTCTCCTTTCTATTTTATCATGTCTACTCTTGTCATCCTTGTTCAGCTCATGCTTAGGGAGTCATGTTGATGAGACTATCTGGGTGTAACTTCTAACATTCCTAGAAGACATAATCTCACAGGCAGCTCCTAGATCTTACAATCTTACAGTCTTTCTGGTCCCTCTTCCACAATGTCCCCTGAGCCTTAGGTGTGGGATTTGCTCTACAGCTCTGTATTTTGATTGATTGTGGTTTTATTTAATAGTCTCCATCTGTTGAAAAGGAAGTTTCTTTGATGAGAGGTAAGAACTACATTTATCTGTGGATATAATGATAAGTATTTAGAATGTAGTTAAGGATT